GTGATGAATTGCCGTTTCTTCCCCTCTGCCTTCCTCTTCCTTTATGGACCCAAGGAGCGAGCGACACCAAACGCTCATATTCTCACATACCTACACACACACACACACACACACCCACATAAACAGCGGAAAGAAGAAATCCTTTTTCGTGGCGTAGGGCGACGAGATGACGGAGATTGACCTGTCCTACGGAGACCTCGACACTAAAACACTTGCATCTGTGGTGACAGATCATGCCAGCGTCGTTTCTCTGGATCTATCGGGGAACCAAATCCCGGCGGAGGCGTTGATTGAGATTGTCGATACACATATTTGTCGGATGGTAAACCTGGAAACACTGGATCTGAAGGCTAACAAGATAGGCCCACGTGGCGCGGAACACCTTTGTAAGGCCCTCATACAGCACTGTCCCAAACTGCGGTATCTGGACTTGAATGAGAACGGTATCTTGAACGAAGCACTTTTCCATTTGGCTTATCTACTCCAGGGGAACCGTATTGAGTCCCTGCTATTGGTGTCGAACCATTTGACGCCGCGAGGCATTCCGACACTCTGCGACGGCCTTCTTTTGAACAGACACATTCGGGAATTGGTGCTGGCATTCAACGTCCTGGGTGACACGGGCGCTTCCACCATAGCAAAGGCCTTGGCGGATCACCCGTCGCTGCAGTTGCTGGACATCAGCGATAACCGCATCAGCGATTTGGGGGCAGTGGACATAGCGGAACACCTCATTCTCTCGCCGCTATCGCACCTGGATTCCCTCAACCTCTCTGTTAATTCCATCGGCGACGTTGGTTTCACCGCCATAGCCGAGGCGGTGGCGCGAACGCGAAACAGGCGACTGAGGCATCTGGATCTTGGCTGTAACGCGGAGGTCGGTCCGATGGGCCGAAGAGCGTTGATTGCACACGTGGCCTCCATGAGACATCTGAAATCGTTAGGCTTATGCTCGTGTAACCTCTCCGACGAGGATGCGCTGAGCCTTACGGTGGCAGTGTTGTGTGACGGCTGTGGGATTACATCTATTGAAGGGTTCAACAACCCCGAGATGCTGCCAAAGACTGAGAGGGCGTTAGATGAGGCTTTAAAACTAAAGAGGATTAAACGACTAAGCGATAAAAAACGCGAGTGCCAATATAGTCTCGTCGCCAGCATCGTGCTTGGAGCCGCTGTGGTGGTTGGCATCAGAGTGGCGCTTCGTCACTGGTGGCGTTAAGACGCAACTTAATGTATGAAGTATGGCGTGTTACGTGCTGTGGTTTTTCTTCTTGACTCACTTATCATTATTGGTGCGTGCGGCAGCGCTTCTTCTTTAACCTCTTGTCCATCGACTTGATCGGCGTCAGCGGATCGGACTACGTAGATATCTCTACCCTCATCTCTCATTGTGAGTGGATGATTGGCGGAGGCCTCTCAGCGAGATGTGCCTACCCCCCAGCGACATGCCTTTTCCCTGCGTTCATTTCTATCAGTCTTTACTTCTTTTTTTTGTAAATTGTATTTATTGATCTATTATTTGGTCTTCTTCGCGCTGCTGCGCCTAGTTCGTTTTCTCAACACTGGCAACACACGTGTTATAATGGCAAATCCGTACGAACAGCGCGATGACCCCTTCAAGGAACGGCCCTCCGACTCGTCCCGCACGTCGTCCCCTGCACCCACCCGCGCAAGCCCCGCCTCACCAGCGAAGCTACCGCCACACACCACCATGATCACACCGTTGACACAGCCGCAGACGGCCTACGCCCCAGGCGCACAGACAAGTCGATCTGGGCAGCCGCAGGGTTCCACGGGTGGTGCACCGCAGCCGTACAACCCTCAGCCTGCGTTCTACGGCGGAGCATCTTCCCCGGCCTCACCAACTCCGCCACCGCCTCCTCCGCCAACATCTCCTGCCACACAGTACGCTGCAGCGTTGCCGTCTCAGCCCGAGCCACAGCAGGAGCTGCTTGCATCAACGTCGAAGTTTTGGACTATTGAGTTTTACCAGCAATTTTTTGATGTCGATACTCGTCTTGTGCTGCTGCGTATGAGCAATACTATGGTGCCAATCAATCCCCCAGATTTCTTGATGGATCGTGATTGGCGCAACAGTGCCGCAGAAGTACCCTCGTATGAGCTGCGGGAAGCAGGTGTCACGCTATCGCGCAAACCGGATCTCTACGGCCCATTTTGGATCTGTACAACCCTCTGGATGACACTTGGTATAGTGAGTAACATCATGAGTAAAATTGCATTTAGCCACAACACAAGCAACAGTGGAGAGAAATGGGGATACGACTTTACAATGGCATCCATAGCGTCCATTGTTATCTACCTCTACTGCTTCGGTCTTGGATGCATTACTTGGGGGTTGATGAAATACAAAGAGCTTCCGGTTGCGTTGTTAGACACGATCTGCCTCTACGGTTATAGCATGTTTATCTTCCTTCCCGTGACAATCCTTTGCACGATTCCTGTCTCTCCACTCCAATGGATAGTCGTCATGGTGGGAGGTGTGTGGTCAACGGCCTTCCTACTCATCAACTTTTGGCATCTTTGGAGAGCTACACTGAGCGGTGCATGGTTTATGGGAATCGTGACCTTCGTGGGCGCTTTCCATATGTTGCTGACGATGTCGTTCAAGTTCTACTTCTTGAACTACAAGTTTTAGCGGGTCGTTGCGTCTCTTTTGTTGGTTTAGGCTGTAAAGAAAAGGAATAGAAAAAGAAAGCGCTGTTGAGAATATGCTTGCTTGTGTTGTCTGTGTGTGTCTGTGTGTTTGTGTTTCTTGATTTGCCAGGCTACGCAGGAGATACGCCAGCCTGCATTGCTGTCTCTTCTGTTTCTTTTATTATTATTATTATTATTATTATTATTATTATTATTATTCGGAGCCTCTTCTTCCTTGTCATCTTTTTTTGTTTGACTCGACCGCAATCAAGAATTGGACTCTTTGCGTCATTTAATAATGCGTCCCGTTGTTGTGGTTCTGCTGCACGAGGAATCCGACACGCCGGCGTACATGGCGGTCTATCTTGCGCAGAGGGGGATCGACTTCGTTGTCTTCCAGTTCTGGAAGGACGACATGGTGCACATGGTGCCCGTGTCAGTCGACACCCCTGTTAGGTGCATCAAGGTGGACAACGCCCCCCACCGGTTCATGCCTGTTCCGGCGACGTGTACAGAGGGGGAGGTCTGCCGCGTTCGCGGGGTTGCAAGCTTTGGTGGCTCAATGAGTGTCAACGACGATCGCCCACATTACGAGCCTATCCTACATCTGATGCGGTCGTGCATCCATACACGTACCCCCGTCATTGGCCACTGCTTGGGTGCACAGCTGCTGTCCTGCTCCCTCGGTGGGACCGTGCAGTCCTCGGAAAATATCGAGGTCGGTTGGATGGACCTGGAGGTCGAGAACAACGGCACGGATGGCGTCAAGGATTGGTTTGGAGGCCGGAAGACTATTAATGTGTTTCAGATCCACACAGAGAGCTTCTCTATTCCCCAGGGGGCCAGGCGGATTGTGAGGGGGAAGTACTGCACGAATCAGGCCTACCAAGTGGGCGATCAGTACGCGCTGGGGATGCAGTTCCACCCGGAGGTTGACGAGGAGAAGGTGAAGGGACTGGTGGCACCAACGTTTCCGTCTCTCCACACGTGCGAAGAAATTGCGGCGATGTCAAAGGAGAAAGCTGCACGCTTGTCACCTGCTGCAATGACCCGTGATGCTATCGCCAATTGTCTGCGGGAGGGTCGCATCGAACAGAATCGTCCCCTAGCGGACAGTATATACGACGTGTGGTGCTCTGGATTTCTGTTTTAGGCCACGCTTTGAACCATTCAAACATTGATATATTTACTCAAAATAAGGAAATTATAGATGACACATGCACCACTGCCTGTTTGCGCATTCTTCATTTTTTTTTTTTTTCCTCTGGCGTAGGCTTTAGTAACCACGCAGACTCTCTTCTCTCCACCCGCTTCTGCCACGACACCCACACAGCGAGATAGAGAGAAAGAGAAAGAGGAAGGGAGAGATTGTGCGTGTTTGGGTTCGTGACAGGGGACTGGGGCATATAATAAAAAGACGTCTGGGTGAATTCTATGGGAGCCATACACTCGGCAGCTTCTCAAGGGGTCCTTTCTTAATTTTGTTGTTGTTGTTGCTGTTGCAGGTGCGAGTCCATTTTTCACTCATTGGTGTGACTTTCGCCGCTGCATTAACACGCTCCATTCATAAGGCTTACTTGCTAAAATTTCCAATCGGCTTTGAACAGCCTTTGTTGCACCTTGATTTCGGGAGAAAAGGGTGAGGCGACTTGACATTCTTCACTGTATTTGTTGTTCTATTTTTGTACCCTGACTCCCACTCTTACCATCTTCTATTCCTAGATGAATTCCTTCGGCACGAGTGTGCCTGCACTTTTTGCATGTTGTTCTCTCTGCGGCTAGCCGCCACGGTGGCGATGCGGCGATTTGGCGCAGACCCCGCACCGTGCCTCTGCGCGTGCCTGTCAAATGTCTGCAAGGAGGCGGCAAGCGGGGCGCCCCAGCCGGCTGCGGCAGCCGCGCCAGTAGTGGGGGGACGAACAACCCCAGCGGCTGCCCGAGTGCCTAAAAAGACGAGAAACAAAGTGGGAGAGACCAAGGCGATTAAGCAGGAGACTCCACGTGCCCCGCGCACAAAACTTGACATCCCGGCGGCATACACTTCGTATCACAGCACCGTTCCCTTTAGCGACTTCAAGGAACGCTACGGCTCCTTGGCCCCTGGCGAGAAGGCTCTTCAGACAACGGTGCGTGTCGCAGGACGTGTCATCAGCATGCGAGATATGGGAAAGATTTTCTTTGCCACGGTTCGCTCGGACGCGACGGAGCTGCAGGTTGTGGCCCAAGTGGGTGAGAACTTCACTCACGAGGGCCTTAAAAGGCTGAAGGTGTCAATACGGGTTGGAGATATCATTGGCGCGGAGGGAGTCCCGTGCCGCATGCAGAAGGGTGAACTCTCTCTTGCGGCGTCCAGTGTCCTTGTGCTTAGCCCCTATGTCTGCACGGACCAAGTGGTGTGTCCCGACCTGCGCGGCTTCACACAGTTGCAGGACAATGACATCAGATACCGCTACCGTTTTGTCGACATGATGACCAACGTAGGCGTCATCGACACAATTAAGAAGCGGCATGCAGTCCTGCAGGCTCTGCGCGAGTACCTCAACGAGCGGAATTTCGTGGAGGTGGAGACGCCAATTCTCCACACAGTAGCATCTGGGGCGAACGCCAAGCCATTCGTGACGTACCACAACGCCAACGCCACGGATTTGTTCCTACGGGTGGCGCCAGAACTGCACCTGAAACAGTGTATTGTTGGAGGAATGGAACGCGTCTATGAGATTGGAAAGGTTTTTCGAAACGAGGATGCCGACCGCAGCCACAACCCAGAGTTCACGAGCTGTGAGTTTTATGCGGCGTACCACAACTACGAGGACCTTATGCCCATGACGGAGGGCATACTGCGCCACCTGGCGATGCGTTCCAACGGAACATCCGTAGTTGAAGTTCGCTCAGAGCACACAAATGAGGTGGTCACGATTGACTTGAGTAAACCGTTTCACCGTGTGAGTGTGTACGACGAGATTCAGAGGGCGGCGGGTGTCGACCTTCCCCCGCCGAACGAGCTGAACACGCCTAGGGGGCTCGCGTACATGTCCGCAATTATGCTGCGCCACGATATTCCGTTGCCATCGGTGCGAACGGCGTCGAAAATGTTTGACAAACTCATCGACTTCTTTATTACCGAGCGAGTAGTGGAGCCGACGTTTCTGATGGACCACCCGCTGTTTATGAGTCCCCTCGCAAAGGAGCATGCATCGAGGCCAGGACTGGCGGAGCGGTTTGAGCTCTTTATCAACGGCGTGGAGTATTGCAATGCGTACAGCGAGCTCAACGACCCACAGGAGCAGTATTACCGCTTCCAACAGCAGCTCGTGGACCGGCAATGCGGCGATGAAGAGGCCATGCCGCTAGACGAGACATTTCTAAAGTCGCTGCAGGTGGGACTCCCTCCCACCGCTGGATGGGGTATGGGAATCGACCGCGTCGTGATGCTTCTCACAAACTCTACTACTATTCGTGATGGCATCATATTTCCTTTGTTACGGCACGATGCTCGATCTCATGACTCTAGGCGGCGCCACAAAACGGCGAGCTTCTTTGATTTCAACCAGCAGATGACGCTGTTCTGTCTCAGCGGTGTGGAGCAGGAGATGAAACGGTGCGGACTTCCCGAGGAGTCGTGTGCTCGTATTCGTGAAATGCGGAAGATGATCATGGAATTAGGGCAGCGCTGTGAGACCCACAATGCGTCAATGACAGGATGCCGCTGGACAGAGTGGCGATTAGGATTAACACTGGCGATAATACGTCTTTTCTGCGGGGCGCCGAGGTTGTGATGTATTCCTTTTTTTGATTTTTTTTTTTTTTGGGTGGTGGGGGATATTCGAGTGGCATTTGCCGGTGGTGAAGGTTGCGGTTGCTTCTTTTCCAGCCGTCGCGTCGCTTACGCGCCCCGTTCTCCCGCTGCCGTGCTGAGTCTGCTCCTTCCGTGGTGGTGGTGGTGGTGGTGGCGGTGGCGCCATCGCGCTGCTGACGGCGCAGGTAGGATCGGCCCACCGGCCCCATTCAGCGTCTTGGACGACCTTTGCACGGCATTTATCAATTGCACATTATTTTCTCTTGCTGGTTATTTCTTTCTCCTTTTTTTTTTATTGGCTTACTTTGCTGCTTCTTCACACGGTGCAACTTCTATTGAGGTCATATACAAGCTTTCTTATCAAACGAGCAATGCAGAGGGACCGCCAGAGAGACGTGTATAAGGATATTAAGTGGAACGGGTGGGGGGAGAAGGATGCGGCGCTAAGATATGATGCGGAGGCCAACGTCGTCTACCATTTGAATGGAAAGCCCATGAAGAAAGTTCTGGACTTTTTGCAAAAGGAAGTGCTCCACAAGAGTGGTACTGCCACTCTGGTGCGGTCTCCTGGACTTACAGAGGAAGAGGCGTTAAAGTGCCTTCCACAGCCTACTATCAACCAGGCGTTTCTTCAAGAGCTGCGTCGGGGCTTGTCGGAGGACCAGATTCACATGGATGGCCTTAGCCGCCTCACACACATTTTCGGAAAGAACTACAGAGATCTCTGGCGTCTTCGCAGAGGTATGATTGACCGTTCGCCTGATGCAATTGTTCTACCTGCCTCCCACGAGGATTGCGTGAAGATTGTGGAACAGGCTCATAAGCATAATGTTGCCCTTATTCCCTTTGGGGGTGGGACAAACGTCACAGGCGGGGTGGAACCCAATCCCTTCGAAACAAAGCGTATGGTTGTCTCCGTTGATATGCGCCGAATGGGGCGTTTGCTTTCGGTTGACAAGGAATCGGGCATCGCCGTTTTTGAGGCTGGGGCGCTGGGACCTGATATGGACGAGCAGCTCGCCCCCCACGGCTTCATGGTTGGCCACGATCCGGACAGCTATGTCCACTCCACTCTTGGTGGGTGGATTGGTGCGCGTGGCAGCGGTGCGATGTCCAACAAGTACGGCGACATTGAGAACATGGTTCTTGCAATGAAGGTGGCGACACCTATTGGTGTCGTAGAGACCCCCATCACGTCGCGTCCTTGTGGTGTGGACCTCAATGCCATGTTCATTGGCTCAGAAGGGTCATTTGGAATTATCACGGAGGCCACTATCAAAGTCGAGCGCATTCCTGAGGTCAGGCATTACGAAGGCTGGTTGTTCCCTTCCTTTGAGGCCGCCTTCTCTGCTTTCCACACATGCACGCGAAAAGGAATTCACCCCTGCACGATGCGACTGTACGATGAAGACGACACTCGCCTAAGCTTTGCTGCGAGCACTGATAACAGTGTCGTCAAGTCATTTATCAGCAAGGGGATCCAGAAATACCTTGAAACCGTGAAGGGGTGGGACATGCGCAAGTTATCTTTGGTTGTCGTCGGCTTCGAGGGGTCCAAGGCGCAGACGGACTGCCAAAGGCGTGAGCTGTCGAGCACATTCAAAAAATTCACCGCCATCTGTGTGGGCCCGGGGGCCGGGGCTTCTTGGCAGGAGAAGAAGTACGACTTGCCGTACCTGCGCGACTTTACGCTGGCCCACTCGTACTGGGCGGATGTCTTTGAGACGAGTGTCATCTACTCTGAGGCCATTGGCTGCTGGCGCGCCGTGAAGGACGCATTCAAGACCGTCATGAAAGAAAATGGGAAAACAGGCTGGATAGGCTGCCACACGGCCCATCAGTACCGCTTTGGATGCTGCCTCTACTTTACATTTGTCGGTGCACAGCATGATGAAAACGACATGAAGCTGTTTTTGCAGATCAAGGAGCGTGCCATGGAAGCGATGCTGAAGCACAGGGGGAACTTGACTCATCACCACGGCATCGGCTACGAGCACGTTCCCTGGATGCAGCGCTACAATGGAAAAGTCGGGCTAGAAGTGATTATGCGGTTTAAGAATTCGCTTGACCCTAAAAACGTATGCAACCCGGGAAAGTTGCTCCCTTCCATCCGTGCGGAAAAGGAAACCCCGCAAGCAGCTGAAGCACGACAGCGTCGTGAGATGATGTTTGACAAGATGGGTGTTCCAGGAGCAGTGCAAGCTCACTTGTAGCGCCTTGTAGACGTTGTTTAAAGCCCTACTTCAGGTTCTGCATTAACAAAAAAAAAACGTATTATCTGGGAGTATTCTTGTGGTTCGTATTTTCGATTCCATCGTATAGCTGATGATAGTGTTGCCTTTCTCTCTCTCTCTCTCTCTCTGTCTTCCACCGTTCCCCAAGCCCTTTGCTTCTCTTTTTTCTTCTTCTTCCTTTCTTCCTCTCCCCCCTCACCTCCGCACGACCCAACCTGTGTTCACACCCAAATGGGACGAGATGCCGTTTTTGCAGAGATTGCTGAGCGATTGGTGCGTCGAGGAGATGAACGCGCAGTGTGCTCATGGTACGCCGCCCATCCGATGTCCGGGATTGCGGTTATTTCAACCCCATCGAATGATCGAATAGCTGGTAGGCGTTTCCCGTCGCTGGACGCCACGGGCAACATTAGGGTCAGCATACGGATTTCGCGTAGTGGTATGGAACTGAACACCAGCCTCAATACAGAGCCTGTCCGTGCCGCCGTCTCTCAGGTCGCACTTCTGTCAGCTCTGACGAAGCGCCCCGTACGTCTGCACATCACATGTACAAATGTCCAGATTCTGGAAGAGCTGCTTGTTCTCCTGCAGGATGCGTCGCATGGCCTCCTTCTGGTGGAGGTTGAGTTGCTGCAAACGACTGAATTTAGTGCCCTGTTGGGTCGTCACAGACGTCGTACGGGACGAGTGCTGGAAGCTCTTCGTACTGTGGAACACCTTATTTTGGAGGGATCGCGCGATGTAGACGCCAAGTTGGCTGGCATTCATGAATTGGAGAGGCTGAAACGACTGGACATTGCGGGAATGCAGTTGTGTTCATTGGCACCGTTGCGTGGGATGCACACCTTGTCGGACATCGACGTGAGCGTCACAGCAATTACTGACGTTGACATCCACATATTGGGCCAACTTCCCCACCTGCGTCGGATTATCGTTGACAGCTGTGCTGGACTGAAGAGCCTGGACCCGCTGGGTCGTCACCCCTCGTTGCGGTGCGTTTCAGCCGTTAGATGTGTACATCTTCGCCTGGTGCGCGCCCTAACTACGATATCAACACTCGACTACGTAGATCTCTCGTACACAGCGGTAAGGCCCGAGGATTTGGCGCGGTGCGTGGAAGGGCTTGGGTCAGTACGCAGTCTCGCGTTGAGTGGGCTGCGCCTCGCTGAGGTGCGGGGGTGGGCGGGCGCCTGCTGGCAGTGGCGGCGCCTCTCACTCATGGAGGTGTGTGCTGCAGGGTTTGGGTGGATCGTAGCGGCACCTTACCTGCGCCATCTCGTCTTAAATGGAACAGAAGTCACGGAAAAGCAGTTGGTTGGCATCTGCGCATCGCTGCCGCACCTAGAGCTGCTCTCTGTGAGTAGGTGCCTTTTTCTGCGCACGTCTTTGTCATTTGCTTTGGACATGGAGTACATGCACGCGGTGCTGATCTCGCGCCACAGTTTGGCGGAGAGTAATGCCATCGCTCTGTTAAAGGAGCGCGGTGTGGTGTGTGAGGTGGACTGAAGCGGCAGGTCATAGGTTGCCAAGCACGGAGGTGCGCATGGTAACAAAAAAAAGGGGGGTATGGGGGTGTGGAACATTCCTCTTGTTGTTGTTGTTGTTCCTTCCGTCTTTTTATTTCTTCCTTTCTTATTCTTTTTTTTTTTGTTTTGGTTGTTGCGGTTGTCTACCTCTTCTTTCTCAGCCAACAAGGAACTCCTTTCTTACCTTAACTGCTCCCTGCGCCCTGTGAAGGATGCTCAGCTGCGCGACTGCCAATGTCTACAGGGAATGCTGCGCAACCTACGTGGTGAAGCCGAACAAGGATGTACTTGAGCAGATAGATAGACCCGATTTTTTCACAATTAAGCAGATTGATGTGTCCAGGACGTTCTTGGGCGAGCTGGGGGTTAGAGCCTTGTTGGACTTCGTTGGTACTCACGCGGGAATCCAGAGACTCATCTTGGTGAAGAACGATGTTGATGCTGCTTGTGTTGAACAGCTGTGCCATGTCCTGCGCAACAGTCCCTCTCTTTACTACGTCGATCTATCAGAGAACCCAATGTCCACGCCATCGGCGCGTCTACTTTGGGAAACTGCAAGGACTGTGCCAACTGTGAGGGAGATTAAGGTGGAAAAGTGTGGTGTAAGCGAGGAGTGGCTGCACCGTCTCGAACGCTGTTGCAAAGCCAATGATGAACTTCAAAGGCTTGGATTCCACTATTACGGGCCGGAACGACGTTTGTGGGCGTGGGAGACAGTGTTTGTCCTCGTGCTCGGGCCACCTCACATTGCGGAGAAGTATTGCGCAGACATCTTGCCATCTGTTGGTAGCTTTGCCTCCAGGCTCCGGCTTCGTATTGCTCCGCTTACCATTAGTGAAGAGGACCCACCAGATGTTGTTCTAAACAAAGTCCAACGGTGCAGGGAGTCGCGCAACTACTCGTTGAGTTGGTGTGTCGCCCTTATTGAGAGTCAGGGGCGGTGGCGCAACTCTGACCTCGCCGCCCTGACAACTGTGTTGCGTCAAGAGGTGCCTGTGGTACCACCATTGCGGAATAAACTTGGCGCCCTACGTGATCCGATGTACAAATGCGCCAAGCACGTTTTCCTATACGACGTGACGCGCCTCCAGAAGACGGAGCTGCAAGAGGGGGGCGTATTGACAATTCCGCCAACCATGTGGATTCCGTCTATAGGCCTTGATGTGGTGGATGGCGTTCGCCTTCCACCCGCTTTGGCACTGACGAGCGAAAGCAGTTGGCGCGTGTGCTGTCAGAGTGAACTTTACACATCCCTTCACACTATCTTCTCAGAGCGTCCACGCCCGATCGAAATAGTCTCAAAGGAGGAGCAGAATGATGAACAGTTGGAGGAGATGATTGAGCGGGACAAGGATCTGGGTTCTCTGCATCCAAGGTGTAAGAACGTTGTGGAGTATGTCGAGTCAGCCGCCGGACTGGCGTCTGCCCCTCTTATTCTCTACGGTGCTGGCATGCTCGGCAAGTCTAAGATCCTTTCATGGGCTGCATCAACGTACTCTGCAGCGGAGTCTCTCCGGGTTGTTCTGTATCGTGCAAGCCGCGAAAATCCGAGCATTGTTGCATTCTTGTATCGCCTATTACGTGTTTTCTCAAAATCACCAAGACGCTCGTACCGAAGTGTGAGGGAGCTGGCTGTTGCTGTTCGTGAAGCCATATGTAGCTATGAAGGGGTGATGGTGCTNTTACTTGTTTCTAGCATCGACTGCCTGGACAGCTGTGGCAGCAGAGAGTCCCTGGCACTGGAATGGCTTCCCTCAAGCTTGCCACCAACTGTGCGACTAATTGTAACGTTACGCACTGAGAGCCCTCTTCTTGCTGTGTTTCGAAAACGCCTGCCTCAACCGTACGAGGTACTCATAACGCCATTTCCGAAACACGTGAGAGCAGAGCTTTTCTTGAAAGAGCTTCAGCGTCGGAGCATTGGCGTGGACACCACGGACGGCAGCAGCAGCGACGGCCGCTCATTAGAACCCACAAAGGCATTGGAAGGTGCTTTTCTACAGAAGGGCGGTTCTGATAATACATCCTTCGCCGCATACACCGCTTCATTTCTTCAGCGCCTGCCGGAAGATTTGGCTGAACAGGACATCGCGTTTCTTGTCACCAAGGAGGTACCTGACACCGACCATGAGATTCTTATTTCGTTACTAAAGCGGTACGAAGCATTAAGCAGCCCGTCTACGGTGCAGTATGCCATGTTAAGCCTCACGGCAGCACCGTTGCCCATCTCTGAACTGGTGTACATTTGCGAAGAACTCGGGCCTTGCACACGGCACAAGACGCTGCCTGTTCTCCTCTTGATGTCGGATGATGGACTCGTGACGGTGACGGCTGACTCCACAATTCACTTGTCAGGCATGGATGTACGCCAGGCAGTCGCCTCACTCTACGGGGATATGCAAGACACTGTCAGTGTGCTTGTGGAAACACACCTCTATCGTCTTGTCATGACACAGAGCCCGGATATGTCCTTTTGTTTCAGGCAATTGGGCCCCCTCATGATGGCGAATGGTAGCTTTGACGCTGCGAATAGCCTCGTCTTGGACACAACTATCATGGACGCACTTTTACGCCGTGAAGGAGAGAATTGTACCTACGTCATCGACTTTATTTTCCACCTTATAAATGCCCGCGAACTCTTGATAGAGCTGGGTGATAGTGAAGTTGATTCGCTAGGACAAAGCATTCGCCATCTCAGCGGTGCGGCTTTGCGAAATGCACTGAAATGCATTCAATCGTACGACGGATTTTTCTTTCAGTCGGCGTTGTTGTCCTCCGACACATCACCATACCACATGCGGGCCATTGAGGCTACAGAAGTCCCATACACTGTACTTGTTCCACTGAATCGCGGTGCCGAAGATGTCGCGGCCCACTCGCTGGAGTTTAAGCTGGCCCCGGTGCATTGCCATGTGCGGGGTGAGTATCTAGCGGTGACGACAGCACAGGAAGTGGCGGTGTACTCTACGTCGGATTTTCAAAAGGCAGTGGCTCGATCATATATGCCCTTTGAGCTGAATCAGAACCTTCGTGGGGCGCTTATTGCTGCTGGGACCCGTGTCGTGGTGATCGGCGACGGGCAATTGTTGCTGTGGGACTTTGCGGGCCACTCTTTCACACTACTTGAGGATACAGCCTCGTCTTTATCCGAAAACGCACTGGACCCTTTTGGACTCAATCTCGTTGTGCGTCACCCATCGCGTGAACACATGTCTATCATTGACGTATCAAAGAAAAAAGTGGCTTCAGAGCTTCCATCTGTTGGGACACCTGTTCGCGAGGCTCTCTTCTGTGGCAACAACATTCTTGCCCTAGCCCTATACGATTTGTTCTTGATTCGAGATGATGAAATAGTTAAACTTTCGCACTCTGCTGTAGTTCGAGGCGTTGGATTTTCTAGCGACGGTCGCCTTATTGCCAGTTGCGTGAATGATGATCTTTGGATTTGGTCTGGCGCCGGTGATTTGATTCACATCATAGACGCCGGGTTGACACCACTTGAAGACCTTCATTTTAACATGAGTGGCACTTTACTGCTTTCGTGGCAGAGTGAGGGGATTAAGTTGTGGCAGTCGCTTACTGGTAAGTGCATTGCAACACTGGAGTCGTGCTTTGACGAAGAGGTTTCTTTTGCGTGCTTTTCCGAGGATGATTCGTATATTGTTGGACGGTGTGGCCCACAGATTTGTGTTTGGAACTCACACAGCTGTCAGCCGATAGGGGCTTTTGTGTGCAGCTCAGGGTACTTTACATTCGTACAACAGCGTAATGAAATGGTCATTGCTGCGACCTCCAAAAATGAGCTGAAGGTGTGGAATTTCGGTGACAACCCTATTCCGTCCATTCAGACGGCAAAAGAGAAGATGATTACTACTATGTGGCGTAAAAGCGCCAAATTGTCGCGTAATCCTATCGTCTGGCTGGATGTTAATTCAACTGGGACAATTCTCGCCGCTGCTGATAAGGATGGGAACCTGATTCTTCAGCCAATGAGTGGCGCTGCACGGCTAGACTGCAACATCACAAATGCTGAGAGTATGGCATTCCTGGGTGATGTAATTGTTTTCACTGTGAAGGGAAAAGGTAGCTGTTTTTTCTACAGAAGTTTAAACCAGAACGCCACCATTGCTGAGGTGCCGTTGCCAAGGGATGCCACAATAACCGCAGTGCTGGAACTCGTGACGGCGAGGGATGGAGGGTCCATCGCGGTGATATCAAATGCTGAGGGACAGTCCGTGATTTACGTCTACAACGTTGATGATTGGTCTCTGACGAATCAATTTATCGGACATTCCGGACGCATTGCTTGGGCATTTTTTGCCGGTGATTTCCTCTTAAGTTCGTCGGACGATCGCACGCTTCGTCTTTGGAGCCTTGTAAAGCATGCGGAGAGGACCTCGTATTTACACGACTGTCATATAGCGGCAGTGACAACAGGACCCTCGAAGACACTGTTTTTCATCGATAATCAGTTACGGTTGTTTCATGTACATGTGGAGAATATCAATTCTTCAACACACGCACACTTTGTGGTGGAGGAGGTGGAACTGACACCGGTTATTCCAGCCACCGTCAAGGTGAGGCAAGCAACACTCGTTTCGGATTTGCTCGTTATGTCAACTGAGGATGGTTCAGTCTACTTGGTAGATCTTCGCCAAGGTGGGTCGGTTAGCAGGTTGCCAGACTACAAGTGCCTCTATGCTGCCTCAACATGCGACGCGTCCGGGACGTATGTCATGACTGCCCATACTACTGGTGAAGTTGTCTTGCACCAAGTTCGCTTTGCTGAGTAAATGTAATACAAAAAGAAACCTGTTCGATGACTCTACAAAGCTACAACCTCCAATCGCTTGTAAAGCGGTAGTGGTGGGGATGTTTCTGTTCTTTTTTTTTCGTCTTTTTTTTGTCGCTATTTCTCTCTCCCTCTCTTTTGTTTTTTTTCTTCATCTGTTTGCATGGATCCACCCGTCTTTTGTACTCCACCATCTGTTTTGCTCGCCTCGAACAACACGAATAGGTATTTGCCACAAGCATACGAAAGAGCGTGTGAACGGAACGAAAGGAAACAGAGGGAAATATGCGACGGAACGATTTTGAGCGTCGACGCCTGCGTGATCTGTACGATCGGAATACCCGTCGGGTCCGGGCACTGGCAGAGGCGCGTGATGGGCGCAGGATGGACAGGGCCGACGACATGGCGGCGCCGCGCCGTTTCGTCGTGAGTGAGAACCGCAGCCGTCTCGAGGGTTTCGGCCGCGGCGGCTACCAGGTGCAGGTGAGCCACCGCCGTGGG